ATATATATATATATATATAACTACTCAAAATTTTTACAGAGATTTCTAAATCTCAAAACTCCTCCCCAAATCTGCTACTTTCATATCAGTAGCCAACTCAGACATTGAAAATTTCATCTTTTAGCTCTTTGAACTTAAAGTATCACCCTGCAACTTCTTTCATCCTAATACTCTACCAATAAATCCTGATGGCTGTACCCTCAACATATTTCCAGTGCTGTACCACTTCTCAGAAGCTTACTCTCTCATTCCTTTGGTAAACAGCTTCATTGAGATACAATTAATGTAGCACTATCTGCAGTGTGTGATTCATTCAGTAGTGTTTTGCTTATTCAGAGAGCAGTACAACTACCACCATTATCAATTTTAGAACATTTCATCACTTACAAAAGAAGCCCTATACCCACATTAGCTGTCACTCCCCATTTCCTCCAGCGCTGTGTAACTCCTCGTCTACTTTCTACAGGTTCATTTACTCTGGACATTCAGACAAATGGCATCATACACATGTGATCTTCTGTGACAGTGTCTCTTGCCTGCTGAGAGCAGCCTCCCAATGGTTTTTTTGCTCTACCCTTGTCACATGCCTGCCCCTCCTCCAATAGCTATTCCAGCACAACAACCCCAAGGAGTCTTTTAATACCAAAGCCAGATCCTGTCACTCCTCTACTCAAAACCTCTAATGGCTTCTCTGAGAAAGGGTGAAAGGTAAAACATTAGCAAGTTCCACATGGGCCTTTAAAACACTAGACATCTAGTATTTTAAGCCCATGCTCTCCCTTCTCATTTGTCTCTCAGACTACATTTCCTATCCTGTCCACTTAGGGTCCCTCAAACACACCCAGTACACTCACCTCAGGGCACTGCACTTGCATGGAATCTGACCCCGGGTGTCTGTGTGGCTCACACCCTCTATCTCTTTTAAAAGTATTAGGGTTGAGCCAGTCAATCAATCATTGTGTACTTTCATGCAGGTATTTCACCCTTTGCAGGACTCTGCAATCAAATCACTAGAGGTCACACAAAGAAGAAATATCCTGAATGCTAAGTGGATTTGGAAAAATTAAAGAGGACTGCACAGAAATGTACTCATATTTATTTTCTTTTATATTTCAGATTCAAAATAAGGCCTTAGCCTCATGACTGTTTATTATTCATACTTAAATAACTTTGGTATCAAATCCTATATTAAAAAAAAATAGGACAGCTCCAACAATAAAAACCTATATTGCTCAGAAGATAAACTGAATTACTAGCTTCATACCTATAAAAGGTTTCTGTTAGTCTGGAGTGATTTTTTTCTCAATGTTCAAAATTTTGACTTTTGTGGCCAAAAGTAGAAAGGCTTCTTCCTCTTCTTCTTCTTTTTTTTTTTTTTAATCATACCTTTGGGCTTAGACACCCTCAGGTTAAAATCCTGTCCTATGAGGTCAGGATGTTGTTTAACTATTTTGGGTTTCAGTTTCCTTATCTATCAAACCATATCCATAATTATAGGATTTCTTTGAGGATTAAGTGTTATACTTTATGTGAAAGCCCTGGTACCCAAGGTGGTCATTTTCTTTCCTTCCTTCCTCCCTCACCAGCTTTGCCTTTGACATTCAACTACATTCCTTACTTCCCTCACTTGTGACTCCCATTCCTGCCTCACAGGGAAGCCGCACCTCAGGTTTCTGGAGGCTTCATCATTTCTGAATTCCAATAATCTCTGCTGCATTCTTATTCTTACTGCTTTCTTTGCAGCATTTCCCACTGATGCCTGTGCCCCCTGTCTGGAAAGGCTTCTCATATCCAGGTTTTATAACACTTTATTTCTTCTTCTTCTTCTTCTCTATTATCCTTCTCAGTCCCTTGGCTGGTTTTTGCCATCTCCAGCCCATGCCACACAAGGCTCTTAACCCTTAGAAACAAGGCTAGTGTGAGCTGAGATGTGCTGTAAGTGTAAATCACAGGTAGATTCCTAAGACTCGGTGAAAAAAATGGGCATGGAAAAATAGCTCCTTAATAGGTGGAACACTGATTCTATGTTAAAATGACTAAATTCTGAATCTCTGTGTTAAATATTTTGTACTCCTTTCACTGTGATTTCTAGAACATTTAAGATGACAGATGTGGCTCAGCTTACATTTCTATTGAAAAGGACTGGTCTGAGGATTAGTTTCCTGCTTCTGCCTTTCACTATTCGCTTTAGCAAGACCATCCTGTATACTGCTGTAGTGTTTTCTCCTCTCATTCAATCCTCTGTCTGCATTTCTAACCCTCCACAGTCTCTCTGAAGCTCCAAGGCAAAATTTCTAACTGCCTCTGCATGAATGTTCTGCCAAATCTAACTCATCTTTTAGATATTCAAATATTCAAATACTTGTTCTTTCTTCTATAGCAGCATCCTATAGATGCTGCTATAACCACATAGGCTATAACCTCTATAGAAAACCGTCAGAATATTTTCTCTCTCTTATCACCCCTTAAATAGGTAAAGGGTTTTATACAAACAACAGAATCTGCTCTATTTTTTTTTTTTTTTTGGTACTAGGGATTGAACTCAGGGGCACTCGAACACTGAGCCACATCCCTAGCCTTATTTTGTATTTCATTTAGAGACAGGGTCTCTCTGCTTAGCACCTCACTTTTTGCTGAGGCTGGTTTTGAACTTGTGATCCTCCTGTCTCAGCCTCCCAAGCTGCTGGGATTACAAGCGTGTGCCACCATGCTGGGCAGAATATGCTCTAATTTTAACAGTAAAGAGATGGCTAAAAGGCTATTAGAAAACTCTCAGATCCAGAGAAGTAGACTTGTATGTTCTGTACCAGTGCAAATACCAGGACCCATCTACATTATGGGGTCAGCTCCATAAAATGCTCCCACGGATGCTGACAGCCAACACCTAGGCTCTCACTAATGCTGTGCAGTTATTCCCCAAAATACTGAGACAGAGCTTTTACATGGCTGGCTTTTCAGATTCCACACCTCACAGAGCAGTTACCTTCTCCACTGGCTGTTTCCTTATGGTGTTCAATGAGAAACAGAAACGTTATGTGTGTTCATCTAATTGGCAGATCCTAGACAACTTGCCTATACCTTATCTGCAAAGGCTGCTGAAAGACAGTTTTCTGGTTCCCCTATAATGTTGCAAATTTCTGAAACATGAGGTATGTGTTTAGTAGCTATTTCGAACCATTCTGGACTACTGCCCGTGTTCATTCATCATGTTCTAGGCTTATAAAATCTTTTCAAATTCCTTTTTAGATATATCCCTTCCTTTGCATTCCTTCTACCACAGCTGATCTAACCTTTTGCTTGGATTACTTCAGTAGCTTCCTCAAACTGTTTCCTGCTGCCAATAAATCACCTTGCTAGCCAATCTTCACACTTCCATTAACACACACACACACACACACACACACACATCTAATCATGACTTACAGCATGCCTCTCACCCTGGGAAAACCATTCCAGGACTCCTCATTGCCTACACACAGGGAAATCAACACACTTTATCACGGTTTCCAAGGCCTGTAAAGATCTGGGCTTTCATGCATTTTCAGCCTTATTTTTTACAAGATTCCTCCCTATCTTCACCTCTTGTAAACTGGCCCTTCTATGTGCTTAGAATTCATCACCACGCTGCTGGTAGCACTTGGAATCACACGCGACCACCCAGTTCACTTTGGAGTAAGATTCCGCTCCACTCATGTGAAGTGCTGCCGGGGACAGGTGGTCAGCCTTTCCCAATTTCCTCCCTAAAGGCAGGTCACCGCAACCTTGTAAGCTTGCTGTGTAGGTTGCGGTTCAACGTTCATAACATGGGGCACAGCACCTGGCATTTAGCAAGCACCTCACAGGAGGATGCCACTGACACTGCTCTGAGGACATGCTTTCGCCTCTTTCAGGAGCGCCTTTACCACAGGAACCCCACGTCCTGGAATCCAGCCTCTCCTTCACAGCACTCCTCCAATGTCAACCTCTTCATGAACATTCCCATTCAGGAAACAGAAAGGCTCCCTCCCGTCCAATACCACAGCAGAGCATCTGTTCACATATTTAGCAAACACTTCATAGTCTCCTATTAACCTACATGTCTGCCATTCCAATTTCGACTGCTAACTCAAAATGATTCCTGTTTACTGATCAACTATTACTTACTAAGCTCAGTTTACTTTTTTCTAGATATGATCCCCCTGCATACCACTACAGATGCTTTTATTACAGGAAAGCAGTACCATGCACCTTATTCTACATCCAATTGACATTTGTAATCTTTTAAGTCTTTGATCATCACTGGGTTCAAACAGTCCATTCCTTAATTAGGAATAATCATATCTTGTACACTGATATTCAAGGGACTGAGGGATCCTCCAATAGTAAGACCTATAGGATTCTATAGCATTGCTTCTACTACCATCATGGATATAAAAAACTCACAATTTTTTTTTAATATTAAGCAAGAATTCTCCCATTTTCCTAAGTGCAGTTTCATATGGAAATGATGAAGCCATAGAGACTTCAGATAGAAAAAGAATAAAGAGCATTTATTGGTAGACCTAAGGCACAATAGGTGAGCAAGTATTGATGATGAGGTGTCATTTGACCTTCTGCTCTTCATAAAGCTGTTGAAGCCCATGTCTTCTTGCTGGTCCTCAAAACTGCTACAGTTGTTCCACTTAAGGGTCTCTGCACTTGCTGTTCCCTTTACCCTGAACTGCTTTAACCTGTTCCTTCATGAAGGTCAGCCACACGGGCTCCAAGCCTCTCCTCAAGAGAATTCCGTGTTGGCCATACACTCAAGTCAGTGCCTTCTCTCTCACTTGCTATACCCCTATATCACTTTATTTTTTCTCTATGATATATAATCAGTGTTTTAAATTTTATTATATTTATTTGTTGCCTGAATGAATGAGTCTGTTTAGTTAGAAATGAAGAGATGAGAGCAATGGTGGTCTCTATCTTTAAGGTGTAGGGAGCAAGGACACCCTTGATCTCAGCTCAACAGGCCTTTTGTGATTCCACTGGCTGTTGAGTTATTGCTGACTGTTTTGGGTGTGTTTGAGAAAGGATGGTAATGATTTCATCCTTCTTGTGGCTTCCTGCTTTTTGCAACAAGCCACATAGTTAAGATAGAAATGGCAAGAGGAGAAACAAAAAGACCCTGCATAGCTTTTTTTTTTTTAATGAGAATTTTTGGAAAATCTTGACAAAAATTAGAACTTGAAATTATACAATATGAAGGTGCAGTATTTCCCAAAGCATTTCTGTTTTTCCTAGTGTATGTGAAGAAATGTGAACTGACTGTACTCCAAATAAACACACAATATTTTACAATAATCTTCTAAAAAAGAAATATAGTTACCACATATGATCTAGAAATAGTTGAATTTAAATAAAGTGAATTCCATTTAAGAAAATATTTGTTTTCAAAACTCAAGCTTAATAATAACAGCATGATTCATGACCCACTTTAAACAAACAAACTAGTATATGGGAACTAAAACATTAAATAACTTTTTTTTCCTTTTAGTGATTAATGAGAATAATATGGGTTCACATGAACAGCTCATGGGTTGATGCTCATTTCCTAGAAATCTAGTGATATGCTCTGGATAAATTCATCTTTTACCGCAAAGCCAGAGTGAAAAATAAAAAGGATTATAATAGCTTTCCCTGTTTCACAAGATGCCCAACCTATTGTGAAATAAATGTTTTAAAATCCTGCAGCAAATAGAGGGATAGAATGTGATGCAATTGATTAACAGACAATTTCTTCAGAGAAATAATTTAGCAGATTGCAATGTAACTAAAGCAGTGAAGAACTCACACTATCATTTGAAAGGGGCAAAATAAAGAAGAGCAAATATATATTAGTAAAATGTTTAAATTACCAGATTAAAGTGTTAAAATAGTTATTCAGTGATACCTGGTAAAATTCAAAACAGAAATAGAGGAAAAATGATCCCACCTGAGAACCGAGAACACTCTGGCCATCTTGCCTATTGCTCGGATCTTGTTCCTAATCACCTCCTTCCGGGCTGCAGCTGTTGCTCCTGTATTTTAAAAGAGAGTTTAGTAGTCAATGACGTTTATCTAAATGCAATTATTTTGTAAATTTATATAAGTAACAGAGTATAGTAAGCAAAATAAGCTTTGATTTGTTTTTCCTTAAGAGGATTCATCTTTATGTCAAATTTGAAAATCTTTGCTTTGGGCCATGTGATTCTTGAGAAGTTCCCCAAATACAAAGGAGTAACTTTTGAGAATTCCAAAGGATCTGGAGTGAGGAAAGAGAGAGTATCTCAATTCACAATAGCCAAGCTATGGAGCCAAACTTAATTGTCCTTCAACAGATGAGTGAATAAAGAAAATGTGGTATATATACACAATGGAATATTACTCAGCCTTAAAGAAGAATGAAATTGTGGCATTTGTTGCTCAGCGGATGGAACTGGAGAACATCAGGTTAAGTGAAATAAGCCAGTCCCAGAAAACCAAAATCCAAATGTTTTCTCTGATATGTGGATACTAACACATAACAAGTATGGGTAGGGAGGTAAAGTATAGAAGTTCAGTGAATTAGACAAAGGGGAATGAAGGGAAAGGGGGGGATGGGAATAGGAAAGACAGTAGAATCAGACATAACTTCCCTATGCTCATATATGAATATATTATGCCAGTGTAAATCCACATCATGTACAACCACAAGAATGGGACCCTAATTGGAATGGGTTGTATTCCATGTATGTATAATATGTCAAAATACACTCTACTGTCATGTATACCTAAAACCCAAATAAAACAGAACAAAAAGATAGCTGAAAAAAATATCCTGAGAAGATAAGAGTAGGCTCTCATCCTTCTCTTTTATTCCCCTCTACTGCCTGCAGTGCCAGGAAGAGTTGAGTCCCCAACACCTGTCACTCATTCCAGACTCCTGCTGGGAAAGCTACTTAGTAAACTGTTTTTTTTTTTTTTTTTAAAGAAAATCTCCCTTGAGGTGATCAGACTGGGATGGCTCTGAACTTCCCATGTTCCTTGGAAGATGGTTTATAGTATTTACTGGTCATAAAACATTTGTTTTAGCACTTGATACTCCTTCATCTTCTGGCTGGTTCAAGAGCTCTTAGAGTAAGAAGTAGAAAGCTGAACTGGATTTAGCTGAGAGACAGAGGCACTATCTATGTTAAAAAGTTATGCATGAGTCTGTCCAGGTTAAGTTTTCCAACTTATTCCATTCTCTAAATTAAAAAGAAAATAAATCTATGTAGGCTATTGTTGTTAAAAGCATTTTCTTTTTTTAACCATGTTTTCTTAATATATGTTCTTTAATTCAACCATTTTGTATTTTTCTTAAGTTCTCAAAATATGTTTGGATTAAGAAACAGAAAAATACTTAAGACTTTATAATACAAAGTAGAAAAGGATAAAAAGTCCTTTGAATACCTTATATAGGACTTTATAGGAAGTGTTAATACAAGGAGATAGCCTTTCTTTCTACTGCCTCTAACAGATACACAATAAAACATTCTTTTCAAATAATATCATGATGTTCCTAATCTGGAAGAACAGTTGAATCACATAATTTGCTGAGACTGGAGTTTATAGATGAACACTGGTGTTATCTTTTGGTCTTTCAATCCATGAGAAGAAAAAATTTTCTGACCTTTCTTGAAGAAAAGATTTCTGCTATTCCTTTTGGCAGTTTTTATGAATGCAATTTGGAAACATTTTTATTCTTTAATAAGAGCCAAACAATTAATCCCCATGCTAACATTTATACAAGAAAGAAAACTTGCAACAACACGTTCAATTTTTAAATGGTTAGAGAAAAGGCCTCTGCTATTCTCTCCACTCCAAGAAAATGGAAACATAATGCCCCACTTTCTTTGCCTGGGTGGGTGAATTTCTGAAGGTGAAGCTGACATCTATCCATTCCACAGGTATGGAGGGGTATTCCCCAGAAGGTACGTAACAGCTAGGGAGTCGGCATTTCTCCAGCTTCCTTCCCTTAGACTTCAAAGAAACTCATATTTTTGTCCATTTCGTTCTCTCCTGTTGAAATAGTAGCATGACACCTATGCCTTACCTCCCAACATACCCAATAAATGGCACTTACTCTTGCCAGCTATTCTGCTGGCAACTGGGTGGAAAAAATTTAAATCCATGTGGGAGAAAGCAATTCTCCTACTCAGTCCCTGTGGCAATCAAGAACCATGGCTTTACTGGGTGCGTGGTGCACGCCTGTAATCCCAGTAGCTCTAGAGGCTGAGGATTGTGAGTTCAAAACCAGCCTCAGCAACAGCGAGGCACTAAGCAATTACTCAGTGAGACCCTGTCTCTAATAAAATACAAAATTGGGCTGGGGATATGGGTCAGTGGTTAGTGCCCCTGAGTTCAATCCCAGGCACCCTCCCCAAAAGAACCATGGCTTCTCATTCACTATGAGTTCACAGACTCATATCTACTAGTGGTGTGTGTAAGATTTCTACTTTAAAATTATGCTGAGAATTAAACAATATTTATTATCTATGGTTTGACATTAAGATTCTTTGAACAATAAAATTTTGCCCTGGAGGTCATCTAAGAGGCTGAGTTCATTGTACCTGGATTTAATATAATGATCAATGATGAAGAAACTTGTAATGGATAACTTTAAGAAAAAAAAAGTGAGAAGGAAGTAATTTCCTTATGGTGATCTCCATATATATATTTAGTTATTCAGGTTGATGTTGTTTTCAGTCTAACATTGTGGTGTCACTATTTTTTTTTAGCTTAATATTTCCCACCCCTGCTGACCCAATCCACTTAGAGATTGTGATGCACCAAGCAAGGGAAGAAGAGATCTTGGCTATTTCAAAAACACTCTGTGGCCAGATTGTGAAATCAATCCAACAGACACAAGAAATGGAAAATGTGGGGGAAACTCCAAAAAGGGTGACTATATTTAGAAGTACAACCAGAAAAGCAGCAAGGAATGGTTAAAGTGTCTGGAAATAAGATTGCATATATTTAAGAGAAATGAGAAGGGAAAAACATAAATTTAAACAAATGAAAAGTATATGAGAAGAAGAATCTCACCGAGAATTTTCCAATGAGGGACTTACAGAAACCATAGAGCAATGGAAAGTAAGAATCTAAGTTGAAAAGAAGGTAAATGGAGAGAACTCTGCTTCCCAGCTCAGAGAGAGCTGATGCTCAGAAAAATGATCAAATAAATACTATATTTCAAGTGCAAAATGAGCATTCTGACAGAGTCATTATACTATTGCTTATATTGTCAGCTCAAATAGAGAGTATATAACAATATTAATATTTTATTATCTATCCATAGTTATATTTTCCCCCAAAATGGTGAATAATAAATTATAGAACTTTTCTTAATTAAAAAAAGCACTTTAAAATTTACCAATAACTCAGGTAAAATATTTTATTATCCATTTTATAAAATTAGACTATATTTACTCAAAAGGTCAAAAAATGTTAACATGGTCTATAAGAAGAGACATTAAGACAAGTCTCTTAATGTTTTATCCTGGGATCACCTTTAATATTTTCCAAATAATCCAAATCTAAATTAAACTCCTACTAAACACTTGCAACTTCACAAAAATATAAAATATGCAAATAAAATGTGTAGATTAATACATACTTGAATTTCAAGGAATAAATGTAATGGGATAGAATGGAGTTCAGATATAAATGTCCTGGTATACTTAGTATTGCTATTCCTAGTTTTGGTATTTTCCAGAGATCATGGCAAGTCCTCACAGCCCAAAATTGAATGGAAAGACCAAAAAGAAGAGCATGTTTTTTGGATTTTATAATCAACATGTAACTATAATGTCATATTATCATGTAAACATTCTTGGTACTGTTCTGATAAAGTTGTGGCAAGGTGCCACTGTAGCACAAATTAAAATTCAGTATATTAAGTACTGACAACACATAAAATATCTTTGAAAGAAAAACTGGGGTGACTTATTTTTTTCAGTGAAAAAAATATAATCTCTTATTTTCACTTGGAAGTTCAAATCAAAAGGCAGTATTTCATATGTTGAGAAAAGAATAATTGTAAGTAAAATTTCATTTTGTGTTTTCATTCATACAATTATCACTCTTTTTTTTTTTTTTTTTTTAAGTTTCTCCTTTCAACTTTTAAGTTCTGATCCTTTTATGCCTGGGGCCTGATACTACTCTTTTCAGAATCTAAGCAATCCTGCATAGTCAATTTTTCTCAACGTGGGGAAGGCTAATATACAGACCAAGGGAATCTTTAAAGATTTTCTTTAAAGTGTGTCCCTCCTGGCCTTAACGCTGCACCTTGCTGGCTTCTCCTGAAGGTTTAAAGGTTTCTGTGCCAAGTGGCCTCCTGAGTGAGTACTGCATCCCCACAGGGTGGGTTTCAGTCTCTGAAGGGAACAGGAAAGAAGACTGCAGACAGGAGGGACCAAGTGCTGTGGTGAGAGAGACTCACAACACGGGTATCTGCTACACATTACAGATGCTGGCTCTGTCACCCTGCTCACATTTACTACTGTGAGCTACTACTATGAATTCCTTAGTTTAAACTGAACTAAGAGTCTGAAGAAAATGCTATGTTGGATACAAATTCTTATCCAAGTCAATCATTCATTCATTCATCAAGTATTCATGGAATCCCATAACATACAGCGGGCATGGCTAGCAACAGAAATGTGAATAGGGCATGGACTCAGCTTTAGGAGATCATGGGAAAGACAATAATAGACATTGACAAATGTTCCAGAGGAAGTGGCAGCAATGCGTTGGACCTGACAAGAAGTCAGCAGAAGATACTGAGTACAGCTCTTCTAAACTCCACATTCCCTAACTTCATGTGGGGAGTTTGATAGCAGCCTGGGGGAGAATTTATATCATGGAAATCTGCAAATGCTATAAACCAGGCCATTTTCCCCTGGGAAGATGGGTTGTTAGACATTGAACAGTATGCCACAGGACGCAGGTGCACAAAAGAACTCTCACAGAAACAGTGACCGTCAAGAGATCTTGAAGGATCTTATTGAAGGATAAA